CCATGGACTCCACCAGTCTCCGTGCCACAGCAGAACACCCGGAAACCCGCTGCTGCAAATTCCGTTCGACCTGCCCTCCGTGTCTCCTGCACTCCTACCACCGATACGTCTTGTCTTGCTGCCTCGTGAAGAACGCTGTAGGCTCGCCCGTATCCATTGGCCCCGTTTACAGCCAAAGTCCGCACATTCCAGGTTGCTACCCTAAGAAGTTGACCCTGCTGTCCCTTTCGCGCGGCGCGCGCTGCTCTCTTAGCTAGCCTACACACCGCCCGACCCCTCCTTTTCCTCCATCTTCCTCTCTTTTTTTGTTTTTTTACTAATTTCTTGCGAACACTCGGGCTTACGTGATAGTTCCCCCGGTTCTTGCCTTGTTTCCCATAGAATTGTCTTCTTGTCCCGGAGCGGTGTGGCCCTCAATCTCTGGACTCTCTCCTTTCCTCTCTCTGGGGCATACCCCCACGGCGTGCGGCCACTCCGCCACCCTCACCGTGCTCTCTGCTGCTGCATAGCCCCGGTGTCCAAGCCGGGGCGTCAGGATCCAGTTTCATTTTGCAGCTACCAAAGCTGGCGGCTCAGGAGCTACCCCGATCTCACGACAGCAGTAACTCCCAACCGCCAAACTCAGGATCCCCCTCGAAACNTCTCTGCTGCTGCATAGCCCCGGTGTCCAAGCCGGGGCGTCAGGATCCAGTCTCATTTTGCAGCTACCAAAGCTGTCGGCTAGGAGCTACCCCGATCTCACGACAGCAGTAACTCCCAACCGCCAAAATCAGGATCCCCCTCTAAACAGTGCTAGGGACCGTATATCCGTCGTTGCTGGGTGGTCTTTCGAGGTCTAGATCCACTTGCGTAACCTCGGCCTACCCCAGGGACGGGGGGGGCAGGCCGGGGAGGAGCATGCACTTGTGTGTATGGGTGTTTGCACTACAGGGCAACGAAACTACCACCAGTGAAAGCGCTTCCCTACGGGCGACGAAAATACCCCCACTGGATTCACATCTTGGATTAGTCGGGGCTCTCGCGTGCACGCGTAACACAAGCGGCTCTCCCCCGATGAAACCCGCAATGTCGGGCCTGAGCACGCTCGATAGGAAAGCGAGCGAGGTGTAGAAAATGGAGCGATCGGGGAAGGTTTCTGTGGCTTTTCGCCACGCCACGTGTCGTTTCGAAGCGCCATGCACGATGTCTTATTCTTGTGCGTGGATTATATCTTGGAGAGATGAAATAGTCACAAACCAAGGTTAAAAACTCGCTGCTTCAATCATAGCAATGCACGCCGGCAGTCTCATAGCGAGGCTAATGCTAGCTGTAGAGGAAGTACCGGCGTCGATTGGCGCTTGGTGTCGCAGCTCTGTTTGAAGCATATCATTTCAAGCAGCATCAAAACAACAATTTACCATAGATTGATAGGTGAACACCCGATACGTCAGACGAAATACGGAGTGCAAGAAACACAACAAGCGCGGGTGTCCCATCTGGTCGAACGTAGGATTCCTAGGGTACACCGGCCGCTTGCCGGGGGTGCCACTCGGTTGTATTCAAAGGTGCGAGCTACGGTAATTAAACAACAAATGGGAGAGAAGGTATCGTATTCAGCTTGTTTGGTAGTTCTACATCTCCACCCCCGTTGGCGTGTGTCCAAGCGGTGTTGCTGCAGCATGTCGATGACTCGACACCACCTGCGTGAGTTTTAAAAGCAGCAAACAAGTGAACCGGAGACAGGAGGTTGAAATGTTCAAGTGCACAACGTCGCCGTCATTTCCCGTCACGCCCCCGTCCCCCCCAAGGTCAGGTAGGCGTGTGAGTGGAAGCAGCTACATACGTATTTTGTGACCGTGCCGCGAAAAGCGAGGGCTTACATCCCCCTGCCCTTTGGCAAGCGCTGGCTAGTCTGCGGGTTGGTACTGCTTGGCCTGCTGTCACAGCACACACTGTTGGTACGGGAGCAGTCGACGCAAGGCACCTCCACCGTCACCAACGGAGTGTCACGGACGATTTCGGTGACAGATGCCCCCAGCGGTCCTGGAATCACAACCTATGATGAAAGGAAGAAAGTGACAGTATCACCGGCGAGTTCGAGGACCAACCTTGAGTTTGCGTCCAATTTCGACCATGTCTTCCCGTCATCATCGCTGCACACGACATTCAAGCGTCACCCCGCGTTTGGAGCCGTGTACGCCGTCGATGACCCTGCGCGCGGACTCCTATTTGACAGGTTAGTTAGGCTTTTCCCGTGTGGTTGTCACTGTCTCAGCTGCAACTCCAACATCTGGGCCATCTAGCCCCGCGTGCGCGGGCACTACCAAGCTCTGAATAATCACACAGACACGCTAATCGCCACACCCCACTCGTGACTCTGCTTCGCATGAACCCGCCGTTGGACTCCTTCCCCCTCTCGCGGATGGCTAATATCCGCCGTTGCTCCAGGTAACCCGATGTGCCTTACGTGGCTGTGTGCATCTTCGTGGCATCTCGGCATTGTCTATCACTCATTCAATTTGCGCTCTCTTTCTACCCTTCTGCCGTTACGTTCCCAGCAAGTCCGCCCCCTCTGCGGACAACAAAACCCCCGGGATGATAGTCGCGTCTTCCGGAGACACAGGGCCGCACACACGAAGGTCGCGGTCGCCTCTAGCACCAGCCTCAAGTTCGTCCTGTCTCCTCCGCCCAAGGGCCTCGTTTCGACCATCATGATGGCGTACAACCACCACGCCGACCTGGTGCTCAGGCCGGACGACATGTGGCTGACGATCCTCGCCCACTTTTGCCTCTACGTCAACAAGAACGCGGAGAGCCTGCGCGACAGGATCGTCAACCACGAGGGCAAGAAGGTGCTCAGGGTCGAGGGGGGCGGGAACCTCTTTTCCGCGGAAACCCCGGTCCTGATCCGCGAGATGCTGGGGAAGATCCGGCAGAACGTCAAGATGCCCGAGCTCGCCGACTGGTTCAAGCCCGGTTTCACGACGACGGCGAACACTGACGAGGTCGCCGCGGCGGCGACGGCGATAACCAGCCTGCAAGCGTACTTCTCGTACGAGATCCACCTCGAGTGCGGGCTTCCGTCGGTGACCCTCATGGGCACTGTGCAGGACTGGAAGCTGCTGCGAGCGAAGGTAGAGCGCCTGCTCGACTTCGAGGTGAAGGACAATCCGGAGGAGGACGTCATGGAGGTGTGGGTGGGTTACCTGCGGGAGGTGTGCGACGGGTTCGTGGAATCCGCGGAGCACCCAGACAGCACGGAAACACTCCAGGTCTGGGACAAGGTATGCTCCCGAGCGTAGATGCGATTGCTTCCGTACAACCAACAATACACGCGTGCTGGAAACATGTTGGTCGTGTACTGGAACATCTTGAGGTGCTTACTTTGTTTTGTTCGATCCTCGCCAATGAAAAGGGCAATGAAGGTCTCCTCATGGTATGTCAAGAAAGCGAGGCCGGGTAAGCAACGTCCCGAGCTTCTGTGAGCTCGTTCCGCTTCGTACTTCGTATCTCAAGCAGTGCTGCTAGGCTACAGTCATGAAACACGAACGACGACGTTGTTATTTTCAGGTGGTCCCCCACATTGGCGGCGGCTCGGGAGTGAGCTACATCACGGGCTGGCTGCCCGCCTTCGCGTGCTTCAACAAGGACGGGAAGTTCATGGGTAGGAACACAAACAAAGCCAGAATAGGATTGAATCGGGGGGGGAACGCTGTCCGGGACGAGTCCGGCGAGTGCAAGTATCCGCTGATAGATACTGGCGAGATCTGCCACAACGCGGTGTCGTGTCCCGTGAAGATCAACGACAACGGTGTCGAGTACGACGGCACTCTGTTCGTCGGCCAGGTTGCCCTTGAAGCCCGGAACGGTGGTGAGGGAGGCTACCCCCGGCCGCGTAACGGCTGGTGCTTGGCCGTACCTGCGAAAGAGGACGGAGGGCATCTGTGTCCGTTGCCGATGGTAAAGAGAGACTGTATTATTTGTCGTATTTATCTCTTTGAGACATTGGAAGCATGAGTTCCTGCAGAGTTTGGCCTGCTGGAATTTGTTTTCGTTGGTATTGCACGTGCTTGCCAACGCCCGGGATATTTTTTATCTCGAAGTACATGCAATAAGATCGGAAAACATGCTGCGCGACACCCTTCCATGCACATGAAGTTTATAAAGATTACGTAGTCGCGGATCGCTTCAAGATGACCGGTTTCGAAACCACTGCTGTCGAATCCCAGAAATTGGTACAGGTGCAAGAACCTCTCCGCGCGATACAGCAGTGCCGGCCCGCTCGTAAAAGTGTAAAATATGTTTGTAAGACACTGAGGCTCAGATTTTGAACAGACTTGAGAAAAGTGCCCGAAGAAACTCAGCATGGAAGCCGGCGCTACATGAATGGTTGCTATGCCGAAGCCTTTTTCTCAGTGGTGGGGACAAAAAAAATGGTTTGGGCCTCGCTCAAAACAGGTGCTTCCTGTGAGCGGGCCGGCACTGTACTTTATTTTTCTTTGGAGAGTGAAATTGTGCGGTAGAAGCAGGCTCGCGTTGAGGATGCATACGGACGGGGACGTTGTCTCTATGTGGCCCATAACAACGTCAGGTTTTCGTTAGATATTTGCCAAGGACCGTGAAGGTCGGGACGACACCTACAGGAAAAAACGAAATCAGGAAATCATTGCAGTTGGCCACAGAAAAGGTTTTGGGCCGTGCGTATGCATGTCGGAGATCGAGAGGAAACCTTCCTTGTGCTTGTGCTCTGTAAGGAGTACCGTATGTCGTTTCGGGACGCGGCGTGCGCGGACACGTGGGAGGGATTTTCCCGCCTGACGTTTTGTTGCCGTCAATGAACCACTACGTAGTGCGAAGGTGTACCGATTCAGGTTAAAGTCAATCGACGGATACCCTGCGAATGGGCTCCTCCTCAACACTCTCCACCCACAGAATTTACCCTCAACTGGGAACCTCTCGTGGCCAGGATGGGTAATTCCATGGAAATGTCACAAGGTTCTTTTTAGGATCGACTCCGAGAGGTGTTCTCTGGACTGACACACATTGTGTCCATGGGAAAATGTCCAAGTCAGGAGGAAAAGTGTGCACCCAAGGAGATTGTGTACCGATTCAGGTAAAAGTCAATCGACGGATACCTTGCGAATCGGGTCCTCCTTAACAGCAGCTTGTTTTTATGGATTTTTTGGTGTTAGGTACGACGAGGCAAAGTTGTCAGTTGGTTTGCTGGATTGTTGTTTCGTCCTTTTTCATGTGCTTAGATGCATGCTTGCGAGCATGTAAATGTATACGGCCATCTGTTCCTTGAAGAGTAGACTATGTAGAAGAGGGAGCACTGGACACCGCTGCGGATGCTAGAAGCTACCGAGTACAGACAGGAGCCCTTAAATGTGAAGACAACTAGGTAGACGCAAGCCAAACGGCATCGCCCGTATCGGGGAGGGGGGGGGG